TTTGCAAATCAGTTATTTACAAGAAGTTCATTCTTTGTTTTCTCATATGTTTGTGTAAAAAAAGTGCTAAGGCGAATAATGAGCCCTCTGTCGACGAGAATTGGTTAATGTAGATCCATTCCTTTTCTCGGCTAGGACGACTCACTTTCGCTCTTACTACTCCAGCCTACTAGGCGACTTTCTCAGAAAGATCGTCGATTGAGGGGCAGGAAGAGGTTGTATACTAAAATAACAAAGTCATACAAAAAATGAAATTCTCGTATCACAAGTGTGCTGGATTGTGAACAGAACTTTCACCTCAGGCGGGGCTCGAACCTGCAGCAGGTGAAACTTTTACGCACCACTTTTCTAAAATTTACCACGTGAAGCAGCAGCTAACGATTGAAAACAAGTCTAATTCCTCTTTGGTCTTCTTAAAATTTGCAATTAATGTATGAAAAATTTACCATACTTCTGAAAACTTTGCCTCAATTTCTTTCGAAGATTCTCTGCTGTCCACTCCTTAGTCATTCCTACACCATTGAAGAATAATACGGCCCTCACATGGGATTCGCTTGTGTTACCGACAAGGTGGCTCACCCTAAGGCCGATGTCAGACTTTGCGAATCGCGATTCGCTAGCGTCCGCGGTCGCGTTGCGGTACCAGCCAATTGAGTGATTCACTGGCCGCGACGCGACCGCAGACGCTAGCGAATCGCGCGATTCGCAAAGTCTGACATCGGCCTAAAGAGCGCCGCACTGACAACGTACTGGTTACCACCCCGTAGAATCGTAACGGCTAACAAACTTACATTCATTCGAAATCATTTACTTGGAAGGAAATCATGTTATGAGCACGTAAACCCCTATTCTAATTAGCTGGTGTCCAGGAATGTCGATTTTCTTATTGGTTCAAATTTACAGTTACCATCTTTCATGTTAGCGACTTTTGGTTGAATGAAACTTCTTATGGTCTTTGCTATTGCTTATCTTTTGGAAAATCGTCAAATCTTCGAGAATATTCGGAAGAGAAAAATTCTTCCTCTTCATTGCTCTCAAAAGCTGAACATAAAGAAGTAGACGAAAGAGATGCTTTCATTTCAGGTCACGTAATCATTTCGGAAATCGACTCACTTTCGGTGTTTGTGGCTTTTTGCAGTCATCAGCAAATGGCGTTGGACGCATTGAATCAGTTGTTGACTCATCCGGATGCACAGAAACTCTACACAAAATGCACGTCGAGCGTTGAGGCTCGGGGTATGAGCCTGAGCACATTTCTTCTATTGCCGCTTGGACGTATCACGAGGTGAGGCTGAGGGATTTATGGCATTCAGGTGCCTACCCAAAAATGTGCAATAATCTTACCTGGATAAGTACACATCTCAATTTTCCAAAAAAATATTTTATCATATTTATGCGATAGCTCAAATGTGAAAAATAAAATCTTAGTAAAGAATGTGAGTGGAAGGAGTATTACGAAGAATAGCCCTTAATTCTATGCTTTGCATTTTCCAGGTATCCACTTCTAATTGAGAAAATCCTAAAGGAGAGCGATCCTAAAGGCGACCTACATCCAGGTTCGTATCGTTTCATGAATTCATTTCTCACCGTAATCTGGCGACTCCATCTAGGACCTGGACACAGCCTTGCAACTGCTCCGTGCTCTTGTCTCTGAGGTGAACCATGCTGTCACTGAGGAAGAGAACGTCTTCCTACTGCGTTGGGCTCAATCACATGTGAAATGCCCACCGTCCCTCCGACTTGACTTCACTTCTGACACACGACTTTTGGTACGAAATTTCTCGAAATAGCCTTTGAAGGCAAGCCCCGAGATTAGCCCGACTAGTAGGAAGGATATAGGGTTCGTACCTACACAGATCATGCCAGCTTCGTGCCAAATTGCGCGATTAGGGCGCTAATCCTTACGGGCCTGCAACCATCGACCCCGTTGCAACGCTTCCCACCCACCGCGATTGATGTAGAGATCAGCGTGCTCTCTCGAACGGCGTGCTCTCTCGCGTGTTTTGTCTTCTTTGACCGCCCTGTCTCGCCGTCGTACCACATCCGACCTTATGAAGGTTAAGGCCAATTTCGATTTCCGAAGCGTTCCAGATGATTTTTTGCTTTCCTTTCCACTTTCTTCCGCAGCTCAGTCATCACTACGAAGCGCTCTTATACACCAGTTTCATCCCGGGACCTGCCTTTTAAAGGAACGAATTCTCGATCAGATGACGAAATATCGAATTTAGGAGGAATTCACTGTTGAGGGCCGCGATCCTAAGTGTCGAACTGGTAAGACAATCTGCACAGAAGATTAACCTCGTTGACTAATTTAAGGTTTAGATCCAGCCGTGGTTCAGTGCACGCCACGATATCTTATCACTGCGTATACGTGATAGATGATTAGATAGGTGAGAGAGCGTAGCGTTGAAGAGGGCACAGCGATGATAGTCGCATCAATGCTCAAATCAACGGGCAAGGAAGTGGTCCCATTTCTCAGGTTCTGGGCCGTTTCGCATGGTTTTTCCTTCTTTAGTGTACCACTCACCATCGCTAACTTAATTTGAAATGGGTTGCCTTTCCAGCGTGAATTCGTCCTTAAGTGGTTAGAATAGCCGACACGGATACGCAATAGTAAATCTTAACACTCATGTCCCGTTACTGGTCTATCCTACTGCGCTTTGTCGATCTGAATAATTAAAAGGACGTTACGGATTATCGCGTTCTATTTTATCCATGGCAGTAGACGGCTGCGACAAAAGCCCGTTTTTGCCTTTGAAACAGATGAGCAGCGCTGTATTGGGACGCCAATGTATTCCATGTAGCAGCTTAAGCAAGTTAGGATTCGATGAAACTGTCAACACCCATTCCTCAATAGGCAAGGGGTTGCGGCCTGAATAGAGAAGAAGAGTATCCACTTCCAGTGCGTAAATCTGGGGGTTCTTTGCTTTCTATTCTTTGCCAGACCAACTCCCACTATAGATTCATAATCAGAAACGCAATCCACACTTTTATCCCAATGGCTTGCTTTGATCTATACTGAATTGAGAGATTGATCTACGCTGGGTTTGATTTTGGATCAGGGCCGTGACTACAAATCTATTGCTTGCAAAAATTCCAAAAAAAATTATCGTCCACTAGCGGATATTTCCTGATGTAACGGCTACTAGTAAATGGCGACGAGAAAGTTTGTTATTTGTCCTTTGACCTGAGCAAGAACCAACCTGTTTCGCACATGCCTCACTCGAATTCCTCCATTTTCTCAAGGGTCTTCATAATTTTCATATCCGTGTGCCTACAAACGGCAGTGGACGCTTTTGTTAGCTAATTTTATTCAAATGATTTTCTTTGATAATTAATCCGGCTGACACTTATCAAAGAGTAGATGACTTAGGACATTGACTTTTGTTGGAAAAGTTTGAAACCGTTCCTTTGCAGCCGATCTCGTTCAAGATCTCAAAAACAACTGAAATCCATTTGACGCTTTACAAACAACCAATGCTACTCGCAAATTTGAAGGTGATGCCGTCAAATGATGAAACTACATTGAATATTAAGCAAGGTTCGTAAATGCACATTTTCGTTGCACTCGGTAGCAATGGCCATACGTTGATTTTCACTGAACTGGAATAAACGTGCAATTGGTACGTAAGAAAAGTAGAATCGTGAGTACAAAATACAGGTTGATCTTTTGCTCGTTTGCTTGCTCGCCACAGCAAAAATTCTACTCTGTAGAGAACCTTGCTGACGACACATGGTTCATGCGGCATTCAAGAATAACTGATTAGCCCACAATAAAGTCAATTGCGCCTCGGTTTTAATTAACCACATGCCTCACACTAGAGAGGTGTGAGAAGTTTCATCCAGGCGTCTGTCTTCGTTTTACTTTTCGAAAAATTTTATACAAGCTCCCCCCTTCCAACGTGGATTTTGATACGCAGCCTTTCCTACCCCACCATTCATCTTCACCAAACCGCCCACTTTTTCTCCAAAATGCCGTCGAGCGGGGGTATATACTCTGAAACGGTAAATATCTCCGAAAATTTCCTTCTATTTCCACCATTTCAACCCATTTTTTACCTATACTCCCACTACTTCCTTTTCTAGGGAGGTATATACGCCCGCTGAAACGGCAAATTTTTATCCTGCGCGCCCTCCACTCGCCCAGCCTACTACCCACGAAATCTTAGTTTCACCTCAATCCCACACGTGATTTCGAGCGACTAAAGTGGGTACGACCCCCCCTCCTACAAACTCAACCAGGTACGACCCCCCGTTGTTACTCGTAACAACGTAGGGTTGACCCTGGTTCCAGCTCACATTAAAGCTGAGGAATCAAATGGACCACCAGTTGGCTCTGTAGTGTCAGAGAATCCGTCTTTTTTATGCCTCCCTTGTTTTTTCGACGAAACTGTTGCATGTTAAAAGAGATATGATAATAGAGTCGTTTATGCTTTCCTGAACTGAGGACGTTTTACTGGCTTCCTTGATTACTCAAAAGTTCGGTTACTTTAGGTATGGACACGATATCCTTCAGGTGTGTAAGCAGCAATGCACGTCGTCTATGGACCAGTCAATTGGAACAGGCGATTGACCTGTACGCTATCACGGCATCAGAGCAGGACCAGGCCAGGGTGAGCTGCTTATTCAGGAGAGCATCTCTATTTGGAAGCACTCAATTTATGAAGGATACTTTCGAGGGTGGTCTAATTCATGGAGGCCACGCACTTCTTGTTTTTCACCAGTTAGATGGTGTCCCCGTTTTTCATGGCCACGCAAACTTTAGCTCTATCATAACCACGGACTACGGTTGAGTTCGTCAGCCCATTGTAACGTTGATAATGTTGCGGTAATTAGATGATTTTTTCGCCAAGCAAGCTCGATCAAAGCCTGTGACATACTTCTATGAATTATGATTTTAGTGTGTTAAAAAAACTGTGTTCAGAAACCATCCTTGCAATCAAAGACGATTGGACGACTGTTGGTGGAAGTGCTCAACACAAAGAATATCTCGCCGAAAATGGTTGAATCACCTCCGGTAAGCCATAAGCCTTTTTAACCTTCAGTACAATATAATAATCTCATTACGACTTCGAGCAGAGGTGGTGCAGTTGCATGTGGCGCCGTTTATTATAGGCATCCTCCAGCGGGCAAATATCCGCCACCAAGGTCTACCATGAGTCCCATGATTGACCTGGGAGGCCGATAGGAGAGGGGTGGGCGGGCAGCGGCGCAAGCGGCGCGGGTATGGCCATGCTAGGTCGCTGGGGTGTCAGTGAAGAGAAAAGAAGAAGCCCATGGAAAGACTGGAAGAAAGACATTTTTCAAGCGGTGGGCGAGAGTGCGAGGTAGACATAGATGCCAATTTTAAGCCTGTGGACCGTAAGAGGATAACAAGCGTGGTGAAGGAGATAGCGTGAGCAGATCCGACGCAAACACCCATCCCCTGCGCGTAGCCCGTTGCATCGCCAGCAAGTGCTGCGATGTCAGCGAGTCGTGACAACTCGTTTTTGTCGCATCCTTTCAGAATCTACAAAGTACTCTTAGCGGATAGCTCCATCCTACTCATGAAAAAGGTTGATGCAACTCTTCACAATGCGCCTTCAAAGTAGCCTGCTAAGCTCTCAGAAACTTGCCAAACATCAACAACTTCTCTGTCACCTATAATTTTATGGCGTTTCAATTAGTTATTTTCCATTTCTGAAACGCCTTTTGCGGCACCTTCAAGTATTGAGGTTCTTGATTCAACGTTGATTCAACTGCGTATTTCAGCAAATTCTTCGACTCTCTGTTGGCAGAGTTAGCGAGACGTTTGAAGTGGATTTGTCGAAGTCAGCCGATCTTCACCTAACTACGCAGTTTCCACTCGTGAACACCACAGAAATGTTCACTTTGAAAATATTACAAAAGAATCTCTTCCGGCCGGATGCGCTGCTATTTAGTGAGTCCAGTTCATCTACTAAGGAAGTGGGTCAGGAGATCCGTATTGCCGCGTCGTGAGCGGCGCCGCGCGCGGCATTTGCTCTAGCTATAAGAAGTGAGCTAATGTAGTTCACATTGACTGCTAACA